AAGGAAGGATAAGGATTACGAGAAAACGATTAATAGTGATAACTGTCTCTCACAAACGTAATCATTTTTCTAGTTTGCATGAAAATGATCACCGCTACCACTACAACTACCACAACCACGATCACCAATTCTCCTTAAACCCGCATCATTTTCAACTCTTCTTGATGCACGTGTTAAATTAAAGAAAGAAAGAAAGAAAGAAAGAAAGAGAAAAAAGTGTAATGATTGTATAAAAATGATTAATAAATTAATTCAATATGTATATACATATATAAGATAATACACACACATATGAAGTATAAGTGAACTCTCTCGATTGTGTAATTTGTTTTGCTCGTTGTGTTGTTTTGCCATACTCTATCGTAGATTATATTTTTCAATCGATTCAGTTATTTTTGTTTTTTTTTTTTCTTCTTTCTATTTATTTTCTTCCTTTTTCTTTTTTTTTTTGTTTGTTTTTTTGTTTTTTTTTCTTTTTATTTTTTTTCGTTGCATCTTATCGTTGTAATATATTGTTATTATTCGTCATCTTGCGTCTCAAAATGATAAAGTCGATCGAATTTCGAATCATTGAAATGAAACGTGGCGTAGTTATATGCTGTCTCATGTTAATAATATTCGAATCCTCCTCTCCAGCCGTTTTAAAAAAACAAATATTTTTTGTTAACGTAAGTTCTCTCTCGTGGCTTGAACTAATTTTACGATATTAATTAAATGACCTTGAGAAATCGTTTACATCATCAAAGTTTGCTTCGTTCGCACGTGTACGATATATATATACACATACATACACACATATATATATATATATATATATGTGTATGTATATAGAGTGTGTCAGTTAATTGGAAGTTGATTTTAACGATAGAAAAAAATATTTTTCACGAGGTCTACGTTTGATTTGAAAAAAAAAAATTGATACGGTCAAAAAAAAACAAAAAGAATTTCTTCTGAAGGTCGTATCTTTCAAATCACGAATGTCATCGATATTTCTTTGAAAAATGGAATTTGATACTTTTTGTTTCCTCCTCTTTTTTCTTTTTTTTTTTCTTCTTTTCTTTATTTTTTTTTTCTTCTTTTCTCTTTTCGTTGCCTCAACAAGAAAAAAAAATTGTAAATCGGATATGAAGAAAATTCAAAATATATTATAAAATTTATCTTGTTGTATAATTACTGTAAACAACAAAAGGTATCGTCTTCAGAATTTCAGAAGTACCGCAAACTTATTTATGATACGCAGCTTTGTTAATGACACTTATAATTGTTCTCGATCTTTCATCCCAATGAGCAATGTCAATTTCTGCTTAATGTCTACTCCAACTTTTTGACGGATCCGTAAAGAAGAAGAAGAGAAAAAAGAAAAAAAGAAAGAAAGAAAAAAAAAAGAAATTACATCATCGTTATAAATTCTATATATCTTGTAAAAATATTTCAATGCGTAACTCGTACTTTGTACATTGTTTTAAAATTAAAAAACAAAAAAAAAAGGCAAAAAAGAAAAAAAACCGAAAAAGGCAAAAAAAAAAAAGAAAAAAAAAGAAATACACGCTTGACAAATAAATATCGTAAATAAATTTGTCGTATTGATAAACTTTGGAAGGCGATATTTTTGTGTTTTGTGTTTGCGGTAATCGCAAAAAAAAAAAAAAAAAAAAAATAAATAAAAATCATAATATCTCAAATTCGTCACGATCCGCTCGACAAGATTTTTTTTTTCTTTTTGCAACAGAAAAAAAAGTCAAGTTCCATTTAAAGATATCTCGATTACGTTCATATTAAGAAGAAAAAAAAACAAAAGAAAAAAAGAGAAAAAAGGAAAAAGAAAAAACATGTCTTTCGGATAAAAGTTTGTTCTTCGTATTAACCACACCCTCGCCTCCGCCCCCCACCGGTTCCTCCCATCTCTCTTCGAATCAAACGTGTCCTCTCTCAAAAATCATTTTCTATAACAATATGTAATCGAAATATTCACGTTTCCCAATTTTAAAATGATTTATCCTGTACACTCATAACATTTTTCCCTTTCATTTCACTTTAATTGAAAAAAAAAAAAAAAAAAAAAAAAAAAGAAAAGGTATTTCATTTCTTTCGTATGTCATCATCCAAATTCGGCGCATTTGGCTTTCATCATAGTGATTCATAAAAATCGTCTGATTAAATCTAACGAAATAAAAAAAAAAAAACGAATTCGAAAATGAATCGCAGGATAATCGTGTATGTTTGTGATCCAACGATTAGATTAGTATTATGTTGAAGTTATTATTCTACATAATCATTTACTCATGAATAATGATTAATGATTATAATGATAGTAATAATAGTAATAATAATAATAATAATAATAATAATAATAATAATAATAATAATAAAAAAAAAAAGAATAATAATAATAATAATAATAGTCCCATCAATCAATATCCTTTGAAGATAATTTAGATAATCCTCGATACATTTTCGAATCGTCTTTTGTATGTAACATCCTAATTTTTTTAATTAGTTTTAAAAAATCATACTGATGCTTCTAAAAATACAAAATAAAAAAGCACACGTTAAAAGATAAAGAGAAAGTGAAAGAGAGAGAAAAATCTTTGAATTAATAGAGCCATACTATCTTTACATTTAATGTAAGAGATTATTCGGTAAAAGCATTTTTTATATATCAAAGAGAGAAAGAGAGAGAGAGAGAGAGAGAGAGATTAATATATTTATAGGCTTTCCACTTTTGCATTGAAAATCTGTCCACGAAACGTTTCACGCTTTCGTAGTGTATAATAATGATTAAAGAAAGAAAGAGAAAGAATAAGAAGAAGATGAACGTATTGCGAGACTGATGAATCTCAGAAATAAAAATGAATGAATGGGGAATAAAAAAAAAAAAAATAAATAATAAAAGAAAAAGAATTAAATAGAAAAGAGAAAGAAGAAAAATGGAACAGAGTCCCGGCACCAATCTTCCATAATAATAATAATAATAATAATAATAATAATAATAATGATAATAATAATAATAATAATTATAATAATAATAATAATAATAATAATAATAATAATAATAATAATAATAATCTACATACGCTACTTTCATAAAAAGCACACATTATGCGTAACGGATTAATCGGAATGAAAGAAAAAAAAAAAAGAGGTATATATATATATACATATATATATATATATATATACATACATATATCAATCGAATATGAAAATAATAAAGTTAACCCGCGTGTGTTCTTAGACGATTAATCCGCTTCTTTCTTATTAATATCATGGTCTAAAAAAAAAAAAAAAAAAAAAAAAGAAAAAAATTTGCACAAAACAATATCTATCATTTTTATCTCGCGTAATTTTGACAAGTAAAAATATCTTATACTTAATATTAGGCTATCTATTTTGTTGGTTTCTCTGTAAATAAATGATGATGATAATGATGGTAATGAAGATTATAATAATAATAATAATAATAATAATAATAATTATAATAGTAATAATAATAAAAATAATAATAATAATGATAAGAATAATAATAATAATAATAATCATATAGTAAAGTAGTCATTAAGACATTAAGATTAACGATAATAAGAACAGTGATATTATTTCTTTACGTCTTCATCGGATAAATATCATTCGAGAAATGTTATGGCAAATATTACATAACGTTTCGTCGAAGAAGAATTAGAAGAAAAAGAAAAAGGAAGATGTAAGAAAAATAAGGAAATGATTATCGAATTGTTAAAATTTTACACGGTTTCAACTTTTAAATATGCCGCGGCGCGTCGTGTTTTCTCACAATTTTGCTTTTTCACGCGACAACGATAGGTTCGTATATCCTACAAAACGTCTGACGTTTCGTTGATGTGGGGATGTGACGCGACGTTGGATTGCTCGAAAAGAGAATAACAAAAAAAAAAAAAAAAGAAAGAAAAGGAAAGGCGCGCGCGAAAATTTATTAAAATACTCTTTTCAGAATTATATATCCTCTTCTTTGAAATGATCGGGAAAGGATTTTTCAAAAAGATGTCGCGGACGCGTGAACATATTATATTCCTTGAAAAATTCGCAAAGGTCTTTTTCACGAGTTAGTTGATAAAAAATGAGAGAGAGAGAGAGAGAGAGAGAGAGAGCAAAAGAAAAAAAGAGAAAAAGAGACAGAGAGAGAAAGAAAGAGAGTCGATCAGAAAAAAATAATCAATCGAGTTTCAATGATTATTTGTTTATTCTATCTTTCAATCTAAATGAAAAACTATGATTTAATCATGTAACTCAATGAGTCCTTGCTATTGTTTCTTCTATCTAATGTTGATAACAACGAAAGAAAGAAGAAAACACGGGTACGATTGTTTATACGAGGAGAAAAAAGGTTATAAATTAAAAGAAAAAAAAAAACAAACAAGCAGAAACAAAACCAAAAACCAATAATGATATTATTATTATTATTATTATTATTATTATTATTATTATTATTATTATTATTATTATTATTATTATTATTATTATTAATATTATTTTTATTTTTATTTTTTTTTTTGTACGTTTGTTTTACAATCCTCGAAACAATAACGCGTTTATCCTGCACGACATTGTGTGTGCCCCTCCCACCCCCTACCCCACCTTCGTTGCTTTTTTCTCTTCACTCTGTGGATTAAGATATATATATATATATATATATATATATATATATATATATGTGTTATAATATATCACAAAGTAAAGTAAAATAGAGTAAATTATAATGTAAGAAAAAGAAGGGATAGATAAGATAAAAAAATAAAAAAAAAAGGATAGAGAAAGAAAGAGAGGGAGAAAGAGAGAGAGAGAGAGAGAGAGAGAGAGAGAGAGATAGAGAGAGAGAGAGAGAGAATGAAAGAGATGAAACAGGATAGAAGAGAAATAAGCAACTTTTTTTTAAATAATATTTCTAATATAAAATAAAAAATAAAAAAAAAAAATAAGCCCACGACGGTCGCTCTCTGTTTACAATGCATAATATCGTATTCTAGAGGAGGAGAAGGACGTCAAGGAGGCAAAGGAAGAAGAGGATCAGGAGCAGCAGGTGGTCGACGGCGAGTAAAAAGAAAAGAGAGATAGAATAAGAAAGAAAGAAAGAAAGAAAGTAAGAAAGAAAGAGAGAAAGAAAAAGAATTGTAAAAAAAAAAAAAAAGAAAGAAAAAAAGGCCAATTTTCCAATGGATCTCTTCTCGCGGCGGCAAAATGAGTTAGACGATAGTGATCATGATGATGATGATGATGAGGATGATAGTAATGATGATGATGATGATGATGATGATAATGATGAATATGAAGATAATGATGATGATGATAATGATGATAATGATGTTGATAATGACGTTGATGATAATGATAATGATAAAAATTATGATAACGATTACGATTATGAGAATGATAACGATCGTTGACGATTGTGACGATCGTAATAACATGATGAAATAGCATTGATATTTGGCCGAGTATGGAGTGAGTTTTTAATGTTACTCGTGAATGTACGATATTAGGGAAAAATTGTTTAATATACATAGCGACACGTAAAATAATAATAATAATAATAATTAAAAAAAAAAAATACAAAAAACAAAAAAAACAAAGAATATTTACTACGCAATCGAAAATAATAATAATAATAAAAAATACAACAACAACAACAACAACAACAAACAAGGATAAATAAATAAATAAATAAATAAATAAATAAATAAATAAATAAATAAATAAAAAATATGTAACAAAAAAGAGTAGTGCTAGTTACTACCGTGAAAAAAAAAATAAAAAAAAAATAAAAAAACATTACACGGAACATGCAGACATACAGATAGACGGATATATATATATATATACACATACACACACACGCGCGCACACATATGCGCGCACACACATAGAGACAGACAGACACAAATACACACACACACACACACACACATGTATACATGCCTATGAGATAAACGCGCGCTTATTAAAAACAACAAAGAAGGAGAGAATTAATTATCGATAAATATCGACGAGCGAAAAGGTGGAAGATGAGGGGGACGGGGAGGTTGACGGGCTATAAAGGGAGAGGAGGAAAAGGGCGAAATTGTAGAGAGAGAATGAATTGGGCCAATTATTTTGGCTATAATTAAAGTGTGTGTTAGAGAAGCGTGAACGTTTTTCTGTCTTGTAAAAGTGGTAATGGTACGAATAGATGAGAGTGTGTGCGTGTGCGTGTGCGTGTGCGTCTACGTGTATGTGTATGCGAATGATGGAGAGAAAAAGAAAGAGAGAGAGAGAGAGAAAGAGAGAGGGTGAAGGAAATAAAAAAAAAAAAGGGGTGATAAAGGGAAGGAGATGTGTCTTCAGAGCAACGTCGTTTTGGCAGCAGCACGCGGTACGAAAGAAGCCTGAAGCATGTACATACATATATATGTATGTAATATATAAATACAAAAAGCGCATATATATATATGAATATATATATGTATGTATAGGTAATTCTATGATGATTACACTATGCGTAAATAAAAGTAGTAAAACTCTTATTACGATTACTATGTTTACAATTATGGCGATTATTATAATTACCGATGTTCTATAGATATAAATAACTATAAATAAAAAGGATAAAAAAAAAAAAAAATAATACCTACCGTTCGTTTCGCTCCGTTTAATTATCTGTTTTTAGTTTTACAATGATTATATAGTCGATATCATACTTGTAGCATATTGCTGAATGTGTTTAAGCGAGAATCGATCGCCTCCGTTAACGAAGGCTCTATATAATACTATTATTATTGTACATTTTTTGTGGTTTATTTAACAATAAAATATTAACAATAATGTTGACAAAGATGCTATTTACTTCGAATGTGTCATTGCAAAAGCATACGAGCGCTAATTATTATTATTAACACCCATAACACATGTTTATGATGTCGATCAATAACGCGCTCGCGCGCGCACGCACGCATACACACACATACACACACACGCGTGCGCGCACGCACGCACACATACGGAGACACATAGTTGAAAAATTTTGTGCCGATCGAGAAATATATTATCTCGTTCAAGAGAAAAAGTAACAAGAAGAAAATAAGAAAAAAGAAAAACAAAAAAAAAAAAAGATAAAATGAACCAACAGTTTTTCTTAATTTTTCTTATCCTCCATCCATTTTTCATGACAGTTTAAAGAAAGAAAGAAAAAAAAAAAAAAAAAAAAGAGGGAGAAAGTTAGAATATAAGCTTATAAAAAAGTCCGAAAAATTCATCGAGACTAGTAATCATAGATATATATATATATATATATGATATATGATATATATGATAAATATATGGTATATATATATATCATCTATCATATTTTAATCCTAGTTGTATACACTTTAAAATAATTTCAAATTGTGCACATGGGTTGTACTATAACCCAGGCACTTTTGAACAGCTGTTTTTATTTATCGTTCTGTATTTATACAGAATGAATAATTTTATCTCCAAAAAAACAGACTGTATATATTCTTTATAGTCACAAAAATAATAATCAATAGATATCAAAAAAAATACATTTCCAATTCTGTTATTATAAAAAAAAACAAAAAAATCATGAATCATGCAACGAGCAAATTGTTTAAATTGAGCTTAAAATTGATCCAGGATGTCTTATACTATACAACTAGGTTTGTAATTTATTAATAACATTGTAAGAAAAAAAAAAAGGCATACGCTGCTAAACTAGCTATTCTATGTGTCCGCCATTGATCGGTATTTTTTCATAGTTCTTTTTTCACGTTAAGACACAAATAGATTGTACGAAGGATCAAAGTGCCAGAGATTTGCTGTACCAAAATTATTTTCATGATCATCAGCCAAGGAGTACCTTCCTTATCATCGCTCCACTGACAACTTCCTCTTCGCTATCACGAGGTCCGATGCATTTACTGCTACACAGGTATTGGAGCAATGGCAAACGATACTTTCCGCAAAAATCGACGAACTTAACGTGTTCGACGCGATTATTGAAAAATACACCTGTAATTAAAAGAATATAAACAATGAAATATTTTTTAAATAATAAAGAAAAGATTATGATAGAAAGAGAGAAAGAGAGAGAAAATAGTTTAATTGTGACGTGTATTTGTATATACGAAAGAGACAGAGAGAGAGAGAGAGAGAGAGAAAGAGATACATATACAGGGTGGTGAATTTATCTAACGATGGCATTTAAAAGATCTTAGTTGGTTTTCGAAACTAAGAAAAAAAAAAAATGTTAAAGAAAGAAATTGTTCGATAGAAAAGAAACGATATTCCGATTAATGTGAAATTTTTTATGAAGATAATGAAAAATCTTAGAGATTTCCAGGTTATTGAATGTTTTTTATTTTTATTTTTTTTTTTCTTCTTTTTTTTGTTCAGATGAACCAATATATTTTTATTAATTGCGGTATCGTATTTAAAAAAAAAAAAAAAAAAAAAAAATGAATTCCATCGCATAGACTTCGACACATTTTTTGGAAATAATTAATGAATGATTTCTTTGTATTAGATTCATTTCATAAGTTAATGGAGTTTTTTTTCGTATTGATAAAAATAAATGACGTTATATTTTATAGTTACCGTTTCTTTCTTTTTTGTTCAGATGAACCAATATATTTTTATTAATTGCGGTATCATATTTAAAAAAAAAAAAAAAAAGAAAATGAATCCCATCGCATGGACTTTGACAGATTTTTCGGAAACACTTAATGAATGATTTCTTTGTATTAGATTCATTTCATAAGTTAATGGAGTTTTTTTTCGTATTGATCAAAATAAATGACGTTATATTTTATAGTTACCGTTTCTTTCTTTTTTGTTCAGATGAACCAATATATTTTTATTAATTGCGGTATCATATTAAAAAAAAAAAAAAGAAAGAAAATGAATCCCATCGCATGGACTTTGACAGATTTTTTGGAAACACTTAATGAATGATTTCTTTGTATTAGATTCGTTTCATAATTTAATGGAGTTTTTTTTCGTATTGATAAAAATAAATGACGTTATATTTTATAGTTACCGTTTCTTTCTTTTTTGTTCAGATGAACCAATATATTTTTATTAATTGCGGTATCATATTAAAAAAAAAAAAAAGAAAGAAAATGAATCCCATCGCATGGACTTTGACAGATTTTTTGGAAACACTTAATGAATGATTTCTTTGTATTAGATTCGTTTCATAATTTAATGGAGTTTTTTTTCGTATTGATAAAAATAAATAACGTTATTTTATAATTATTTTCTCGTATATAATCGTATGATCCACGTGTGTTTTATTAAAATTTATTAATGTTCCCTTTTTTTTTTGTTTTGTTTTCTTTTTAAGTAATTGCGTGTCAGGTTAAATTTCTTCGTGCATGGTTTTAAGAGTGAAAAGAAAAAAAAAAAAAAAAGAAAATAAACTTTATATCACGATAGTGTCGAAAGATCATTTTAAGATATATTTTGCTTTAAAAGTTTCGCCAAGAACAGGCAAAAGTCTGTTAAAACGGCAATAAATAAAATCTGCAAAATTTATGATCCATTATTAGTATTAAACAAGGTCAAAGATGTTTAGAACGTTAACGTTTCGAAAATGAACGTTCGTCTTGGGGAAGAACAAAGATCAGGTAATCCTTTTAAAAAGCTTTATAGTGTCAGGATATTGAAAATATAAAAATCAAGATAAAAAGAAATTGTAAATCATAGTGATAATTATATCTTATGTTGAATTAAAGTTGAACGTAATTCTTCTTTTCTTTTCTTTTCTTTTCTTTTTTTCTTTTCTTTTTTTCTTTCTTTACGTTGCTTTAAAACTTTACTTAAAAAAAATCGCACATTATTTTTAGAATGATCAAATACTCTTTTAAATCGATTCTAAAACGATAGCAATAAATTTATTTATTGTCTTATATATAACATGAAATATATGTATATCATGAAGTTAAAGATAATCGTATAGTACAGATTCTGAAGTTAACGTTTTTTTGCAGTGAAACAATATAAATTATAAATGGATAAAGATCAAGATCAAGGGCCAAGGATCAAGATCAAGATCAAGATCAAGATCAAGGGCATTTGTGAGCCAACGAATTCATATATATTCAATCCATTTATACGTTACGATATTGTAATAATGAAAATATATCGATTCATAGAGAAAAAAAAAAAAGATTCATCAACGATTCAAAACGTCGAAACGAAAAAGTCGTTAAAAAAAAAAACAAAAACAAATAAATAAAAAGAAGGAAAAACGTATTCGAAATCAATCAATTTCTTCCTACGATCTTTGTTCTTTTTCCTTTCTTTTTTCTTTTCCTTTATTTTCTTTTTTCTTTTTTTTCCTCTTGTATTATCAAAAAAAAAAAAAAAAAAAAAAGAGAAAAAAAAAAAAGAAAAAAGAGCACCAAGATATTTCATGTGTGCGCGTTCTAATTAAATGAAATTACACATCCCTGTATAAATATAACATAATATGATAGCGTATGGCGAAAGAGCATATATAATCTTTGTAATATGACAAACATCGTCAAAGAATATTTCCTGACCTTTACACTTGGGATTAACACAACGGTGTCCACTGTTCAAATATTCCACGAGATTTTTAGGAATGTGTTCCTCGTCGTATTGCATATTGTTCGTTTTAATAATTCGTGCAGCCAGTTCCAATAACGATGGGGGATTGTGCGTCATGTCCGATACAAATCTAACCACAAGAGGATTGTCTCTTAGAGAAAGCTGAAACATGAAAGAGAAAGAGAGAGAGAGAGAGAATACACTCATTTTAATCTATTTATGCGTATGTATGTATGTATATACGTAAATACTTATTTAC